TGGTAGCCCAGGCTGGCCTCGAACTCACAGAGATCCGCCTGGCTCTGCCTCCCGAGTGCTGGGATTAAAGGCGTGCGCCACCACCGCCCGGCTCTGCCTCACACTTCTAAGCAACTGGGCTCAGACCTGTGACACTGGGTCCAAAATCAATTCTCTTTGTTCTCCTTTTTAAACAAAGAGTTAACTCACAATATTCTTTTACAATGCTCTGACATTTTTGATGGCATGTAGGTGTGTGTGTGTGTGTGTGTATAGCATGTACATGTTCATGTTGGGAGGCCAGAGGTCAATGTTGGGTGCTCTTCTCCACCTTGTTTTTTTTAAAGATTGGTTTATTTTATTAGTTTATGAGTGTTTTGCCTGTATGTATGTCTGTGTGCCACCTGTGTATCCGATGCCTTCAAAGGTCAGAACAGGGTATCACGTCACCTGGACTCAAGTTACAGATGGTTGTGAGCCACTATGTCGCTGTTGGGAATTGAACCCAGGTCCCCTGAAAGAACAGAGTTCTCTTAACCACAGATCCAACTCTCCAGCCCCCACTTTTTGAGTCACAGTGTCTTCTTTTTTTTTTTAACTAAAAAAAATTTTCCATTCATTTTACACACCAAAGATCCCCCTCTTCCCTCCTCCTGCCCCCCAGCCTTCCCCTCCCAACCCATCCCCCACTCTCCCCCACAAGAAGGCAAGGCCTCCCACGGGGAGGCACACCCAGTAGAGGCCAGTCCAGTGTCTTACTGAACCTGGAGTTAGCCAGCTGCCTATACTGGCTGACCAAGGAACGTCAAGTGTCTTGTCCCAGACCTCCCTCCCTCCCTCCTCCCTCCCTCCCTCCCTCCTTCCTCCCTCCCTCCAGTGCTGGGAACACTCACACCTATCTCCTCCCCTAGCTGTGTGTGGAATCACACTCAGGTTCTCATGACTATAAGTGACAGGAGCCATCTCCCCAGCCCCCACATACAAACACACAATATTTGGAATAAAATTACATAGATTTTTTTTTATTAAAATACTACTGGCAGGTGACTGGGGGGGGGTCTATGTCAGATTTAGTGTGTGCTTAGCACACAGACTTCAAAGTCCTCAGTTCTAGCCCCAGAATGAGAACAAAAAATCATTAAAAAGTTAAAAGTAAATCAAATGATATTAACACCCATTTAATCTGTTTATCTCAGCACTGTGTCTTAGGATCTGGCCAGACTCTTAAGCATAAATGTGGAATACACTGAAGTAATGGATTAAAATGGCGGGTTAGTGATAATCCGAAGTAGTTTTGAAAACTGTGAGTCTTCAGCCACAGCCATGCAGCACTGAGAACGTGCCTTCCCAGGCTCGAATGTGCCAGGTATTGCTCCGTTACCATGGTGACAACTTTTGAACCAATCAATTTAGCATAGACATGCACTTAGCAACAAGATAATTAAGTTTATAAAAAGAGCTAGGCAGTGTGAAGTAAAATGCAGAAGTAAATAACAAAACACTCAAAAGCCGTTTCCTGTTGTTCACATTTAAGCACGCTGGAGCTTTAGCTCAGCCATGGAGCACATATGTGGGAGGCCCTGGGTTCTTCGCACAGCACAGAAAAAAAAATCTAACTTAAGGGCAGGCGTGAACTTCACTGATAACACTGGCTGCACACCTCTGCATTGTAGGAGAGGCGCTTTCCCTCCACCCACGTCAGTGTCTGGCCAAGAGGTTACGGGAAAAGCAGACAAAAGCACACCCCACGTGCCGTGTAGTGCCCAGAGGCACTGTCGGGAGGGCGACTAACGGAGAAGTTGAGCCTTCACATCCTAGGAAAGTGATGGCACATTGGACCAAAGCTCCGTCCCAGGGCAGGAAACATGGGCAGGTGCACACCAGAGACCTAGTGGTGGGAGGGGCTGGCGAGTGGAGTTTGATCCCTCAGTACCTCCCAGGCTGCATAGGTAGGTTACTGGCTTTCCTTTTGCCTGGCAGGGAGACAAGTAGATCCCTTTGTAAATGCACATCCTGCAGGCAGGCAGGCAGGCAGGCAGGCAGAGAGCGTTTTAAAAATACATACCTGCTTCTACTAAATTGCCTTCAGCTCAAAATAGTCCGTATGCCAAAGTGGGTCTTGTGGAGGAGGGGTGGCATTTGAGGGGATCAGAAGGTGTGGCATACTCCAGTTACCACATCTTTGAGCAGGTAATAAGAACATAATGGAAAAGCCCTCTTCTTGTTCTGCTGTACACTGCCCCCTGGTGGTGATGGGTATGAACTGGTCTTGGGAAGGCCCACTTGTCTTTCATTCCACATTTCCTTTATTCAGCTTTTATGTGCCCTATTTCACAATAAATAATAAAATAATGATTTTATTATTATCTAATTTTATTTAATCAAAGTACTTCTGTGGCTGAAAGGTTCTCCACTAAGTTCATGTGTAAAAGTGAACCCCGAGGTCCTTCAGGAGGAGGCTAGGATGAGAGAGACTCCAGATGAGTTCATCTTGGCTGTGTGTGATGGGCAAACCACTTATCTTCTCCAGGGCATGAAGCTAGTAAGAAAACAAAACCATGAAATCTGCTCACAGCATCAGAGATTTTCAAAGAAAATGAAGTGGAGCTGAATGCTCAAACAATGAATAATTTTTAATAGTTTATTGTCTCTGTTTCAGACATTGAATGCTATTTACCAATAACAAAACACACATCTCTATGCATACACATATGGGGAACAGAGGCACAGAGGCCAGGTAACTTGCTGTAGTCAATACAACTTGACAGCGTGTTGAAACCCATACAACGTGGCCACAAAGCCCACGCTAAACTTTAACCACTATCCACAACCTAGTGGCAAATCTTTGTGCAGATAATGAACTGAGCAATTTCAGTACACTCTGATGAATATTCTAACAGGGGAAGAGTGGAGGCCACCTCTTTCCCCAGCAGGCTGCATCACCCACACAATCTGTAAACATTCATGGAGCCTCACAGGCCACAGAGAACATGGTTCTCTACCGGCCTGGTCCTCCCCAGACCTTTCTAATGAGAAAGTGCTAGTACTCCTGTGTCCAGACTGAAAGACAATCTTGCTTTCAGACACATTCTTGGTAGTAAAGAAACAACATATTCTGGTCCAAGAGAATTCAAGTGGGGGCTGAGAAGGCACTTTCCCCTGCTTGATCCTGATTGTTCTTATAGTTACATGTGGCTTTTTCAATATATTGAGTTGTTTCAGAGACAAGTCTTATGTACTCCAGATTGGCCTCAGATCTGTATGTAACCGAGGATAAGATTGATCTCCTATTTCTCCTAATCTCCACCAGATCACAGGACGGGCACCACGAAGCCCAGCCTTACACTGGCTAGTTTTAGTTGTTAACTTGACTGGGCCATGGGCATCCAGTCTGGGAGGCAGTTTAAATTTTGGTAGCCTAAGTAAAGCATAGTGCTTTCTCTAATTGGGTGGCATTTTCTCACTTTAAAACTTGCTTTCTTACATTTCAGGGAAGATTTTATTTTTATTTTATGTGTATGGGCATTTTGCCTACATGTATGTATGTGCACCATATGTGTGCAGTGCCCGTAGTGGCCAGAAGAGGGCGTTGGACCCTCTGGGACTGGTAGTCAGTTGCCATGTGGGTTCTGAAAATTGAACACAGATCCTCTGGGAAAGCAAATAGTACTCTTAACACCAAGCCATCTTTCCGGTCCTTATGTTAATTTTTTAAAAGGTTTATTTTTGTCTCTGTGTGTGTGAGAGAGTGGGTGTGGGCATACTTGTAGGCACCCAAGTAGGCCAGAGGCATCAGATCCTTCAAAACTGGAGTTACAGGCATTTATGAGCTGCCCAATGTAGGTGCTGGGAGCCAAACTTGAGCCCTCTGCAACAGCAGCACATGCTTTTAACTGCTGAGCCGTCTCTCCAACCTCTAATTTTTGAAGGACTTATTCTCGCCAATAAGAGGGTCTTTCCTGCTTTTGGCCTTTACACTGGGGCATGGGGTGGGGGTGGGGTGCTTCAGGCTCAGATTCAAACAACTTCCCAGGGTGTTGAGCCTGCTGGCTCAGCGACAGTTTTCCTAGGTCTCCAGCTTCCAACTCACCCTGCAGACCCAAGCACTTGTGCAGGTGTGTGTGTGTGTGTGTGTGTGTGTGTGTGTGTGTGTACATACATGGGCATCTTGCTACTCCCCTGTACAGAGTAATCTTGCCTTTGGGTCCTGACTCTGCACTCTGGCTAGTTCCTTCTGTCTGGAGTGCCCTTTCTTCCTCACTCACCAGCAAGCCGCCCAGCACAACAGCTGTTCAGCATCACCTCCTCGGGGAAGCCATCTGGCTTTGGCAGCTCAACCTGCCATAACAAAATACCACAGACCTGTGTGTACAACAACAGAAACTGATCTTAGTATTCTGGAGGAAGTTCAAGATGGTCTGTCGGCCTCTTCAGTTCCCGCTAAAAGCCCTTTTTGTGGATCTCGGGGTTGGGAGAGTTCGGGACATTGGCCCACTGATTATGACCTCACCCAACCTTTACTAGTCTGTGCAGGTCCCATCTTCAAATGTAATCACACTGGATACAGGTTACAGTTTCAGAGTCTTGAGCACCCCCAGTCTCCTGCCCTCTAGCTGCACTTTCTCCTGTCCTCCCCACAACGGCTCACTCCAAGGTGTCACACTGCTGTAAAGGTTGTTATCGGAGTTCCAGGACTGATGGCTGCCTGGCTGTGGGAAACAGCCACTCCAAGCCACTTAATTTAGAGTGTAGAACTAAGCAGGCACTCGGTTTAAAAGTGCTGATTAAATGCATTTCAAACCTTCCTGAATATCCAAACCTAGACATCAGCTGATGCCTCAAGCCCTCTGTTCTCCAAACTGGCATGTCACTATCTGCATCGGACCAGCTCCTCCCAGCTCCTCCCTGAGTCCTCTGTCCTTCTGCCAACCACACCATTGCTGCTTTCACGGCTCATGGACCACACGGACAGGCTTCTTCCTTGCCCGGAGCACTCTCCTCTTCATCTTTCCTTAGCTTGAAGTTTGCACACTCCAGGGATGCCTCTCAGTTTGTCCAGATCTATTAACCCCATTTTTGTCATGTGCCCAAATTGTAATCAGATGCCAGCATGGAAGCACTCTTTGTGAAAAGGATCTGTATCAGCCCAGGACCCCAAGAACGAGTCTCAACACAAAGATTTAGTTACCCCGGAGGGACAGAGGACAGAGGTAAGGGACAAAGACAGGAGATAGATGACAGGGAAGCTGGGAAGGGAAAGGGGGCGGGTATTTGTCCCAGAGGGACAAAGAACTGCCTCTGGATAGACAGGAGACAGGCCCATAGGAAGATGTTAGTTTAAAAGACAAAAGGAGAACCCCGGTGTTAGGATGAGGTGTTTCATTTTAATTGGGCATGTTAATTAAGGGAGCCAAAGGGGGCTTTTGATTTCTGGACTTCAATACTCTGATAGCTGCACGTTAGTAGTCAACCTCAGGAGGAGGAAATGGCCAAGTAAGGGAACAGACCTTGGTGGCTAGCTTTAGGAATGTCATCTGACGGTTTTTAGCAAGGCAGAGGAAGCCTGCCAGAGCCATGCTCGCCATGCTCAAGCTGGTCCGAGTCCCTTCATTTTGCCCCCTCTTACCCATGTCCTTCTATCCTCTAACTGTTCTCCTTAAGGCCAGTTTTTAAAACTAACCTCTCAATGATTCCTTTCTCGGAAGATTCAGGAAAACAAACACAACTCTCTCCCATAAACTGAAAAGCTACGTAGGAGGGGTTTAACTTTATACTTATGTAAATCTGCATTCATAATGCACAGGCCACCTGCCTGGTTGGGAATGAACCCAAATTATTACCGACCGGTCCCGAATCTCTGTCAAGTTCCAAAGCTTCCCATCTACCCCGAAGCATGGCCAATTGCTCTTCCAAAAGAACTCACCAGAGCCAAAGGTACCAGAGACAGCACACCCTGCCGCCCGGCAAAACGGACTCATGAGTGTGTGCACGCTCACAGAGACAAAATGCAGAACACGTACACGCTGTTCACTCTTAGGTGAAGCGTCCCAGGCAGGCCCCGCCCCGCAGTTTGCCCCGCCCACCAGGAGTCTCCGCCCCGCCCCGAGGCTCGCCTCGGTCCTCCCACCCAGAGCCCTTGCTCCACCACCGCCCTCGAAGTTAAAAGTTTGGGCCAGTAGGGTTAGCCTCGGTGGACTCTTTCCTCTCGCCGGAACGGGGAAATTCAGTGCAGTTTAATGACGCTTCTTCTAATACAAGTCTGTTACTATGCCACCGGGGGCGTCGCCAAAATCAGGACCCGCCCCTCCCGCCCCGCCCCCCGTGGCACCGCCCATAGGCGGCCCCCGGAGTCGGAGGCCCCGCCTTCAATAGGCCCCGCCCCTGGCGTCATGAAACCCGGAGGCCTCGCCCCCTACCTCACGATGCCTGGGAGGCTCCACCCCCTAGGTCTTGCCCCCCGCGGCGCGAGGGGCGGGGTTGCGACTGCGCGCTCGCGCGCCCTTGCGGCTTCCGCGCCCGCCGCTGGCCGTTAGCGCGGCTTGGGTGGTTGTCTTGGAGAACGAAGATGGCGGCGGCGACGGCGACGGCGGCGGCGGCCTCGGCGGTGGTGGCCGAGGAGGACACGGAGCTGCGGGACCTGCTGGTGCAGACGCTGGAGAACAGCGGCGTCCTGAACCGTATCAAGGTGCGGCGGGAGGCCGGGCTGCGGCCTGGCCGG